CCTTGGAGCCAATCCTGAAAAACAGTAGATAACATCCAAGCCTTTGTATTATTACAATATGTCATTGATAAGTTATTTAATAATCTAATTAATTTACAATTGTGCAGTATAATTTTTACATATTATATAATTGAATCTGGTAGATGGCAGTTTTGACATTTCAGCAGTTTTGATATTTCAGCAGTTTTGTATTTTTGACATTTTTAGCATTTTTGACATTTTTGGCATTTTTGGACATTTTTGGCATTTTTTAACATTTTTGTCAGTTTTGACATTTCGGCATTTTCGGCATTTTTGGCATTTTCGACATTTTTGGCATTTTCGGACAATTTTGGCATTTTTTGGCATTTTTGTCAGTTTTGACGTTTCGGCATTTTTGGCATTTTTGGCATTTTGGCATTTTTGGCATTTTTGGCATTTTCGACATTTTTGGCATTTTCGACATTTTTGGCATTTTCGACATTTTTGGCATTTCGACATTTTGGCATTTCAGCACTATGTAGGAGGTTTTACCTTTCGGCATCAGGCTAAGCAGATTTTGTCAGGCAACCTTAGACAATGGTGCCCATTACCACAACTCAGAATTAATGACCATAGTTTCCTACTGGCACCAATGGTATAATATTGAGGTTCGTGGTTGGTATTTTTTTGAACCAGGAGAAGCAAAATCAAGTGTTGATTCTCATCATGCACAGGTGAAATTTTCTAAATTATGCTATTTATTGTATATAAATATATGTATTTCCATTAATTAAAAAATATATCTTTCATTAGATTTCTCATGCTATCAAGAGATATGTGTGTGTTGGCCATAATCTAGATGAAGGAAGGAAAATAGAAGCAGCAACACATAGATTAAAGGGAACTTCTATTGCTCATATTGAACCAGCACGCCAAAATCAGAATCACAAAAGTGAAAACAATTGATGGCATTACAAAATTGTTTTACTTTGAATGGCCAATTGAAGGTGATTATGCTGGATTTATGCAAGCTCAATGTCTACCACATATAGGAGAATTTCTACAGTTTTCACCATTAGAGACAACACCTATAAACAAGCCATCACCCCTAATTTCCTCTCATTCAATCCCTGAAAAACAGTGGAATACTTCATTGTCTTATGTTCAAGGTAAAATCAAAAAGATGAATTATATTTTTTTTTTATATTATAAATAATATTTATTATATTTATTTTATATTTATATTTATATTTATATTTTTTTTTTTTTTTAATTATATTTTTTAATTATATTTTTTAAAAAGCTTTACATATTTAATATACAAGGATGTAGTAGAATCAGTTAGAAAGGTGGGATTATCACTTGGAGCAATAGAAAAATCAGATAAAGTGATTTCATCACTTCAATCACGCATTAAAATTGCAAGAGAAGCAGCATCAAGGTCAAAAAATAATGGACTGGAACCAGTAAAAGTGGCATTTTTTGAATGGTGTGATCCTATTTATCTTGGTGGACATTGGACTCCTCAATTGATTCGTTGGAGTAATGTGTGTATGATAAATCGATTAATTAAAAATAGTAATATTTTTTATAAATATAATATACGAATAATAAATATATATTATCTTTTAGGGAATCCAAGTGATAAATGATTGTAAAGATGAAGAAATTGCTCAAGCTGGAGCATCACCTTCGTATGGTTTATTTTATTTTAAGAATTCAAATTAGATGAGAAATATTATTATTTAAATGTATAAATTGTTTAATTAATTATTGATAAATGATTTGCGAATTAAAGCTTTTTTATACCACTCATGTTAAAGCACCATTCTAATTTGTATCCTTAGATTAATATGAGTCTGCGTGGATTTCTTATCTCCATTAATAATACAAATTCCATTTTTTCATTGAAAAAAAAAATAATTAGTCAACATTTAAAATCAAAAATCCCACCCAACCCTATTCTGCAAAATGGGGTTTTAGCAATAAAAATTGTTTTGTTGATCATTGTACAAATGTGACAACGACATAATGAAATTTGATTATTACTACGCAAATTAAAAATAATAAAATGCGCCTATAATTTGAAGCAACACAAATATAATATCTCTAAATGACAAGCTTGAAAAAAAAATTACATCCCCATTTGAATTGATATATTTACGGAATGTTGAAAGCTTGCATTGAACTTTGCGACTTGTAATTACCCAATGTATCATCTAACATCTAACTCTATTAATCCTTTTTGCCTAATGAAAAATATTACATCATTAATAAGATGCTTATTTATTCAATCACATTTGCTATTGTAATGCATTAAACATAATAAACATAATAAGAATATTCATACCTTCCTTTGGTCTAGTAGATCCAAGCATGTTCTTTATATAAATAATTTAAGGGTTTATAAACGCACCTTTAAACAAAAAAGTTCGATAATGAAATAATATTTACTTTTTTTTTTTGAATGATAGAATATAAAATAGGTAGAAAGAATATATTATTGCACAAATCGATATAGGCGAGTCATATGACGGGTCAGTACATTTAATATGTGGTGTAACTAAATGCCGATCATTTCTCGAAATCGAATGCCTCTATGTCAAAAACGTCCACATGCCAAATAAATAAATGAGGATATAGTAATAGTAAAATGAATTGCGCCGTGCCCATAAGTTTCTTCAATAAAAAATAACATATCAATATATTCATTTCATTTGATTTTAATTCTTGTAAAATGACTCAAAGCAAGTTACAAAGAATTGTTCTTTTCTTTTTCGATACAATTTTTTTTAAAAATATATATATATATATAACCACTTGATTTTGTTTTTAAAAAAATAAATTTTTTAAAATAAAAATAAAAATCAACTTTTTTTTTTTTTTT